GGAGAAGTCTGGAAAGATGAAGAGTGGAGTCAGGAGAAAAATAAATATGGCTTAAATGCCTCATGAAATAGCGGTCTACAGTGAGCACTTTAAAATGTTATTATTTTGCAAGATACTGTGCTGTCAGCTATAGAGATTGCAAGGTCCCGCCTTCAAGGAGCTGACAGTCTAGATATAGAGACAAAAGATACACACAAGAAAGGCACTGCCCCTTATTATGAGAGCAGGAGCATGGTGTCCAATCTCTTCAGTACTGATAAAATTTAACACGTTCAAATGCAACTCCCGTTTTGTTTTTTTTTTTAATATAATCCTTTCTATTTTTTTGAAATACAGATTTATATATAATATAAATTATGTTGTCTATTATTTTTTAATATTAAATATTATATTATATCACATTACATATAATAATTAATAAATTTGAATCTTTATTTCAATAGTCATTTGCATCTTTAATCAATTAACTCATGTGTTCATTGGTTTTGAATACCTACTGTATATTGTATTAGAAAGAGAGTCTCAAGGAGTAGAAGATGAGTCAGACTAGGGCCCTGACCTCACAGATTTTAAAAGTTTTTGAACTCATAGTAAACTGGAAGGACATGGCATTTGGAGTCACAGGAGCTGGGTTCAAATCCTGACTGTCTCCTACTAACTGTGTGATGTTGAACAAATCACTTCCTCTTTTCTGGGTTTCAGTTTCCTTCTTTGTAAAATAAGGTGTTTGGAATACAGTACTTTCAAGGCCCCTGCCAACTCCAGATCTATGATTTTATGGTTCTAAGTCATTTCCTACTAGTTTCAAATATTTGTTTGGGTGCAATTGGCTGCATGTTTGGCAAAGGATCCAGACTTCAGCATACCTCTGTTTGTGTTTGGAGGTGTGGCTGTCTGTGTTTGCAATCCTCTTTGATGTTTCTCGTCCTGTTTTGCTCCATTTCCCAATTCCCATTACTTACACATCTTGTTTTTTGTTTGTTTCTCATTTTCAATGTCATTGTTATTGATTTAAGGCGGGCTCCTCAGCCCTGCAGAAAGGTTGCTTTCACACCTGTGGAATATCACATTGCATGATGGTATTCCCTTCTCTCAGGCCTGCAATCCCGGGGGCTTGGGAATATGTAATTTTATCTGCCTTCTCTCAGTCCTGCCTTCTGTGGCCTCACCATGAGATTGTCTGCCTGTTTCCTCCTCACCTTCCATTGACCCCACAGTGGGTTGTACCTGCAAGGTGGAGGTCTTGGCCCAGAGAAGAAGGAGCCGGGCTAGCGCACAATCATTCCTGTCCCACCGCTGTGAGTCTCCCTGAGGTCATGATGGTGGCCTTCCTTCTGGGACTACTCAAGTCTACTTTGTCTGATGTCATGGATGCGTACACAGATGTAAATAATCCACCCGTGCTATTGGCAGCATCATTGACGCATTGGACCCCACGTGAGGCTGACAGGAGGCTGATTTTGGCTCAACATAAAGAAAAACCTCCTAACAATTAGAACAGTCTGAAAGTGGAGTGGGCTCCCTCTGAGGGATAGTGAGTGACCTGCCAGGGGAATTCTTCAGGCAAATTCTGGATGCTTACTCTTTTAGGAATGCTATAGAGGGGATTCCTGCTTAGGTAAGGGCTGGACCAGGCAGCTTCAGAGGTCCATTCTAACTCTGAGTAATCTTATGCCTTAAGGAAGGGTCATTCCTCTTTAAAAAATAGATTTTTATTGATATATTTTGTTTGTACCTCACCTAGATCCCTGCTCCCCCCCAGTCCCTCCCAGAGAACCATTCTTTCTAGCAGACTAAAAATGAAGAAAAGTAATAGTTCAGTGAAACTAACCAATGTATCTGACATATATGAGGTATTCCATACCCATAGTACCCCATCTCTGCAAAGATGTGGGGGACAGCATCCTGATGGTATTTATCTTGTGAATAATCTTGATTATTCATGGACAGATTCCTTTTTAGTGAGGCTTAATTTAGGCCAATTTTGAATCCTCATCTGGATCTACCTGGCAGACTTCTAGTTCACCTTTCCCAGCTCATTAACCAGTATACGCCATGGGAAAGCAAAATGATTTTAACACGGGCTTAAGAAAAAAGGTAAAACAAAACATTTAAAAGAAGAGAGAAGCCCTTTAATGCCTTTCAAAGCCCCAGTGTAAAGGATTTGGGGGATTATTTTTGTAACCTTGGTCTTTTCTCAGGAATTTTTCTCCCTCTCCCCCAATTAGTATAACTAAATGAGTATTGGCAGTAATTAATTGTGGCCCAGTGAAAAGAGCGTTATATTTGGAGTAGGAGGGTCTGGGTTCAAATCCCAGCTCTGTCATTTACTAACTGTTTGATCTTGGGTAAGTCATTAACAATCTCTGGGCCTCGATTTCCATATCTGTCAAATGAGGGAGTTGGATAGATGGCCCCTGAGGGCCCTTCTAGCTCTAGATAATAATAATTATAGCTAAGATCTGTGTAACACCTTATAGTTTGAAAAGTATTTTACATGTTTGACACTATTTGAGCTTCACAATGACTGTATGAGGTGCTATTATTATTTTAATTTTATGGATAAGGAAACTGAGGCACAGAGGTTAGGTGACTCCCTCAGTTACTAAGTATCCGAGGCAAGATTTGAATTGATTTTAGGTGCGGTACGCTATCCATAGTATGACATCAGACCTCTGATCCTATTGTCCTAATCGTGGAGATACTGGAATCTTGGTCTGGGGACCAGAGTCTGAATTCCAGCTCTGATACTACTTGTGTCACATTGGGCAAGTTCCTTTATGGCCTTCAGCCTCAGTTTCCTCAGTTTTAAAATGAGGTGTTTGGACTAGGTTCTTCCTAGCCCTAAATCTGTGATTTTATCAGTCAACAACATTCACCAAACATTTATTAAGTGCTTACTGTATGCCAGGCACTGTGCTAGGCATTGAGAATATAAAATACAAATCAAAAAGGAGCTTACATTCTAATGGGCAAATCAACATTTATTAAGCACCTACTATGTGCTTAGCACCTTGCTCAATATTGAGAATATAAAATGCAAGTCAAATGGAGCTTTTGTTCTACCAGAGAAAACCACAATCAATAAATAAACATTTATTAAGTGAGGTCCTCCCCTCTCTAATCTGACCCCATGGTTCTGCCTTTCCATGGGAAGCCTTCCCAGTAATGGCCTCAAAGTGTCCTAGGGTGTCTCTCCTCATGGAGCCTTGTGTCTTAAGGTTCATAGGCTTGTATTCCTAATCTCATTGGCTCATGGGTCTAGAGGTGGAAGAGATTTCAGTGGCCACGTAGTCCAGGGTTCTTAACCTGGGGTCAATGAACTTAAAAAATATTCTAATAACTGCATTTTAATATAATTTGTTTCCTTTGTAATACTATGTATTTTATTTTATGTATTTAGAAACGTGATTCTGAGGAGGGGTCCTTTCTCCATCACCACATTGCCTAAGGGGTCCACGACACAAAGAAGGCTAAGAATCCCTGATCGAATCCAAATTTATAGATGAGGAAACTGAGGCTGGAAGAGGTGGGGAGGTTAAGTGACTTTTCAAAAGTCACATAGGTACGAGGTTGGAAGAATCTCCCCAAAGTTTCCCTTGTTTCAGATGAATTTTTCTTTAAATATTGACCTAATTTGGGAAGGCGTTCTGGTGGCTTGCCCCAAGATATGGGTTTGTTTATTTTTGTCTCAATTGCCATAATTGTTACTTAGGGCTCTGTTCAAAGGTTAGACATGCCATTATCTTCACCTACGATTTGCCAGACTCTACTCCCAAGAGCACAGGATAGTGAAGTCTCTTCTGACTCATTTTATCAAGATTTTTTCTTTTTTTGAAGGCATTTTATAGATGTATAATCTATTTGGGGAGACAGGACACCCACATAAAGAGAAAAGACAGTCCAAAGAGACAGAACAGCATCATAGATAGCCAGGTGGACTTGAAGTTCGGTAAGGTCTTGTTTTGACTCTTGCCTTGGACACTTCATGGGCAGGTCACATCACTTTTCCAGGCTTCAGTTTCCTTGCTGATAAATGGGGACGCTAATACCTAGAGTACTTGCCTCCCAGGGCTGTTGTGATGAATTGTGTGTGAAAGGCACTTTGCAAACCTTTAAGCACTGTCCACATGACATGATATGTGTTGAGAGCCAAACGAGAAGTGTAGACAATGAGGACTCTAGAAATTCAGAAGGAAAAGGGATTGTTGAAGGTTGGGGTAGTTTCCTGAAGGTTGGATTTAAGCTGGACCTTGAAGGAAAGGTTGGACTCAGCTTTGGAGAAGGAAGGATGTTCCAGGTGAAGGGAACTTGATAGAATGTAAACACCTTGAGGGCAGGTATTGCTTCACTTTTGTCTAGCATGTTCCTGGCACATTTTAGATGCTTAATAAATGCTTATTGATTGGTCAAATGTATGTCCCTTGAAGGCAAATTGTTTAATTTTGGACTCTGTGTTGCAGGTGTTTATAAATGCTTACTGAGTAACTCATCAAGAACCTGAGGAAAGACAAAGAGGGGAGAACATGTTGAGAGGATGCTATGTGGGTCAGGTTGGCTGGAGAAGAGAGTTCATGTAGGATAATAGCAGGAAATACCTTTGAAGAGGTATGCAGGCAGAGGTATGGTTGTAGAGAGCCTTGAATGCTAGGATAGGGGTGGTAGACTGTATCCTACAGTCACTGAAAGTCCCTGGACCAGTGTGGATAATGGTGTTTCTAAAAGGGTGGATTGGAGTGCTGTTTAATCTGTGCACTTGTGCATAGAATCATGGTGCCTAGGATTATGCATTTAGCTGTGAAAGGGACCTTAGGGGTCATCTAGTCCAGCACTTCTTAAACTGTGGGTCATGATACCATAAGGGGGCTGAAATGTGGGAGCTGTGAAAAATTCAGCAACAGTAAATGGTTTTTGAATGTGCAACAACCACAAATTAATTCAAAATCAAACGCATAATGAACCCAACATGTTTCTGGCAGCACTTGTCCATGTTGCATCGCACAACTTCACTGCAGCCTTGGTTCTGAACACACAACATGTGCACTTCGCACTGCGCATGCCATCACGCCACCCAAGCCAGCAAACGCTGTCAGAAAAACCTCAGCTCGGATTCAAGACTATTGTAAGTTATAAATCACAGTGTTTTTATTGTACACAAAAAATTGTTACGTAAGTGTTGGCTTGGGATTAGGACAGAATTTCCAGCAATTTCTGAAATGGTCCTGAATGTACTTCTGCCATTTTGTACTATGTATTTATGCAAAGTGGCGTTCTCAGCATTGCTGATTATAAAGTCAAAATATCGATCAACTCTGAAAAACATTGAAGATGCTCTGCATCCTGCAGAATCAGACATCCTGCTATGACTCAATTCTTTTTTATTTTATTTTTTTTTGGTTAGGCAATGGGGTTAAGTGACTTGCCCAGGGTCACACAGCTAGTAAGTGTTATGTGTCTGAGGCCGGATTAGAACTCAGGTCCTCCTGAATCCAGGGCTGGTGCTCTATCCACTGCGCCACCTAGTTGCCCCTATGACTCAATTCTTTATGTAAAAATAAACAAGCACATCCATCTCATTAGGATGCAAATTTGCTTTGTCTTTAATAGATGGTAAAATTATATGTATACCAAAGAATCATTTTAAAATAAATTTCTTTATGACTTATTATCAGTAAATGTTTGATTTGTATACCTATTTTATATACCTATACATCCAGGCTTGGGTAAAAATTTCTTGGGCAAAAAAGGGTCATGAATGGAAAAAGTTTAAGAAGCCCTGGTCTAGTCCAATCTCTCATTTGATAGGTACTGCTCGGTGCAATGGCAAAAATAATGGCTTTGGAGTGAAAGGACCTTGGGTCATTTCCCATCTCTGACTTGCTGTGAGCCCTTGGGCATGTCACTTACAATCTCTTTGGGTCCCATTTTCTTCATCTCTAAGGTGAGGTGGTTGGATTAGATGGTCTGTACAATGAGGAAACTGAATACACTGTGCATTCATTGAGACCACGGATTGCTTTGGTTTTGTATGTCTGGTAGCTGGCACCCAGCAGACAACTAGTGAAGTTTGTTGACTTGAATTCTAGAGATGAGGAAAGTGAGTCTCAGAGAGCTGCTTACTCATGTTTAGACACATTTAGTAAGCTCTGGAGCTAGGCTACAAATCCAGATCCCTCACGGATTCAGGACCATTACTTTGCCCACTACATCAGTTGAAATAAATTTCAACAAGCCAGCAAGTAAAACCCATTTATTTTTAAATTTCCTAGTATTTACTTACTTACTTTTCACCTGTTTTGTCTCTGACACTCGGTAGCTGTGTGGCCCTGAAGAAGTCCCTTAACCCCTCAGTGCTTGGCAGACAGATGGCATCGGTGGATGAAGCACTAAGTCTGGAGTTGGGAAGGTGAGTCTGACCTGGCACTGCACACACTTAGTGGCTGTGTCAGCCTGAGTAAGCCACCTAAATGCTCTCAGCTTCAGTTTCTGTATCTGTAAGATGGGGATGGTAGTAGTTCTTATATCACAGGGTAATTGTTTTGAGTCCAGTGAGATAAAGTCCTTTGGAACTTTGAAGTGATACATAAATTCTAATCACCATTACCATTATTATTGTTATTATCTCTAGTTTTAGAGGGGATGCCGATCTGCATTTTTAGGAGTGTCTTGTTCTGTGACTTCCCATATCAATGAAATCATACGCTCTATCCTTCATTTGAACCAAATACAGACATTTTTTAAATTCAGGGGTGTGGGGAGAAAGGTAGGAGGGTGCAGAATGAAAGTGAATTTTGAAAGAAGCTAAGTATATCTTTTTGGGGCATCTAGGTGGCACAGTGGATAGAGTGTCGGGGCCTAGACTAGAGTCAGGAAGACCTGAGTTCAAATCCAGCCTCAGGCACTTGCTAGCTGTGTGACCCTGAACAAGTCACTTAACCATGTTTGCCTCAGTTTCCTCATCTGTAAAATGAGCTGGAGAAGGAAATGGCAAACCACTCCAGTACCTTTGCCAAGAAAACCCCAAATAAGGTCATGAAGTGTCAAACATGACTGAACAACAATAACAAAAAAGCACATCTTTTAGAAATGTGAAAAAAGTTTGAAGTCCTTTTTATTTTCACCTGAACCCTCTTACCCCTAGACCCTACCAGCCCAGTTACAACTCACAAAGAGCACAGATCTCCAGACTGAGCTGGAGAAGCTTTGGTTTATGAAGGAAACATGATCTCTGCCTTCGCTGAAGTGGCCCTGCCGGAAGCTACTGTAATTTCTGCCCAGGCGTCATTAATGCCTCTAAGCCGCTTGATAGTTGCAGATAGGTGACCTTGAAAAGAACAGCGGAACGGGAGAAAGATAAGAGTCCATGCATGATCTCCAGCAAGGGGGTTTCTGGTGATCTTCAAGATATCTTAAGTAAAGACGGCTTTGGGCCAGAAAGCCAGGAGCGGGGTGGAAAAAGGGAGACCACCCAGAATTTCAATAACCCCACACAATAAGAGTTTGGCTTTTGAAAATTCCTTGGCCGGTGTCTAGGTTTTAGAACGATTCTTCTTGTTGAGAAAACCAGGCTGCTGTCTTTGAAATCCCGAATCCCAAGAAGGACCTTGTCTTTTTATGAAAAGGGCATCGGAGTTGTTCACGTGTGAAATGGGGACGGGGCCAGAGAGCAACCATCCCCGTTCTTCACGGGACCCCGGCTGTCTAGTTGCTGGAGGCAGAGGGCTCTGCATGGTTTCTGGCCCCCAGTTAAGTGGGGAAATAGAAGAAGGTTTGGTTCCCTACTGGGATATCCTCACTAGGGGGTTTCCGTTGTAGTACTGTGACAGTCCAAAAGATCTAGAGCCTATGGGCTTCTTTGAGAATCACTTGCTGCGCTGCCTCGGGCACGCCAGGTAAGGCTCATCTGCCAGAAACGTCCATATCCCATGTTTGTATTCCCCACTTAGTTCAGTTATTTCCTCTGCCTTTTTTCTCTGCTCTGGGGTGAGATATTAACCAAGGTCTCTCTTGATTTCAAGTACAGTACAACTTGTTTATTTAGTTACTTATTTTTATTATGCCTTTGGTACATTTTTATAGTCTTTTCGGATATTTTCCCTGCTTCTCTCATTCTTAATCCTCCATTATATCAAAGAAAAAAAAATAGCAAAGCAAAACTAACCTATTACAAAGTACCCAAATGATGGTGATGATGATGCACTTACAATCCTCCCCTTCACCCAAGGACGGATGAGTGTGACCTCCTCTGATAGCAAGAATCAGGATTGTTCAACCACAATGTATCTACATCCAGCTGCCTTTTTTTGCACGGTTTTCATTTATCTTCTATTTTTTTGGCTATACTATTCTCCTGATTCACTTAGGAGCCAGCCAATAATATTATTAGCATGTAATAATATGTGAGAATAATATGATAATCTTAATATTCTCAGGATAGCTAATAATATCTGCTAACGTTTATGCAGTGCTTTAGGTTTACAAAACACTTTGCAAATATTTCATTTGATCCTTACAACAATCCTGGGAGGGAGGTGCTATTATTATTCCCATTTTACAGATGAAGAAACTGAGGCAAACAGAGGTTAAGTGACTTACCCGGGGTCACACAGCTAAGACTGGATTTAAACTCACGTCTTCCTAATTCCAGTTGTTTCTCTTCACATAAGTTGTTATAAATTTTGCCATGTTTCTCTGAATTCCTCATATCCAAAATTTCTTATGGCACAGTAATATTATATTCCATTAACTTACTACAGTTTGCTCAGCTCTTTCCCAGCCAGCAGGCGCCCACTTTGTTTCCAGTTTTTTACTTTTGTAAAGAGTGCTGTTCTAAACATTTTACTACATATGGGATCTTCCCTCCCTTCTCCTCTCCTTTCTCCTCTGCCCTTTCTTCTCTTGTCCTCTATCCTTCCCTCTCTTCTTTGCACTTCTTTGGGGGGAAATGCATTGTAGTGGGGTCAGTGGGTCAAAGATGATGAACAATGTAATAACCACTCACCCAATTCCAAATTATTTTCCAAATCGCTGGACCAACACACAGCTCCACCAACAGAGGCTTAGTGTTTCTGCCCTCTTTCCACTCCATCCCACTACCTCTTTATGTATAGTCATGTGTGTGTGTACTACATATGTATGTCATATACATTTGAATACAGCCCTAACATTTCCAAAGCGATGTTTTTAAGCTGCTTTTGTGTTTTATGCAAAGCTCTCCTGCAACAAAGGCTGCTTTTTGAAAGACAGGCTCAGCAATTAGGCCTGATAAACTTCTCCCTGACTAAGTTGCTGGCACAAATGTGCTCACAGCATCAAGGGAGCCAGTATTAATAGGGCCTAATTAATGGGGACTAATTTGGTGTTACAATGGAAACAGGGTAGCTGTGTGTATTCTAACTCTAGTAAAATGTGAATTGGTCTCCGACGGGGTTTGAAATTTAGACCCAATTAACTTAACCATGCAAGCTCCTGGAAGATTTGCAGATATTAGTATAGCTCTCTAATTGGTGTGCCCTCGGAACCCCGACACTGTCACTCTGGGGGTTTCAGGAGGCAGGCTTCTCTTGAACCAGGTCTTGCAGAGCAGGGTCATTACTTTCCCACATTGGACAGCATAGGCCTGTGCTGTGAGGCTGAGCATTGGCGTGTACTTACCTGGGGCCTCCTTGGCTTCAAAGCACTTTGCCAATCCATCAGACAGCAGCATTTATTGAATGTCCACTGGATACCGAGATGAGCTGAGCTGTCCTATTCGTTGGTGCTGAGTCAATTTGTGGCTGTCTTGCTCATGAGAAAATTCCCCATCAGGTAATTATTTGGGATTGTTTGGCAAAACCAGACCACACTTGATGAGTGCCATAGTTCTGTGTTCCAGAACCCACATTAAAAATGTGGCAGGTAGACTAGTCTAAGGAGTAAGCTTGCGTCTGCAGCTTGTTCGGTAAAGTTAACCCTGGATAATATGAACATTAGCTGGAGTGGCTAAGGTGCTAAATAGTATGAAGAATCATAGACTCACAGATTTAGAGCTGGAAAGAATCTTTGTGATCCAGCTACCTCATTTTATCGAGAAGGAATCCGAAGGCCAGAGAGGCGAAGGGACTTATTTGTCATGCATCTAAGATCACAGGACCATTGATGTGAAGCTGGAAGGAAGCTCAGAGGCCATCTGACCAAACACCCCCACTTTACAGATGGGGAAACTGAAGCCCTTTGGGAAGTGAATTTCCCTGGAACACAGCTTGTGTCTTCAAACCTGGGTTTGAAACCCAGGTCTTCTAACCTCCCAAGTCCAGTTCTCTGTCCACTGTACCATACTATATCTCAGTGGAGAGGATCAGCTCATTTATGGGACCCAATACAAATAATAGCTGACAGTTAAATAGTCATTTAAAATTTGCAAAATGCTTTACATATATTATCTCATTTGAGCGTCACAACAACCTAGGAGGTAGGGGCTAGGGGTATTATTAGCCCCATTTTACATATGGGAAAACCGAGGTTAAGTGGCTTGCCCACAACTAAGTAATTAATCTAAGGTGAGATTTAAACTAGGGACTTCTTTACTCCAAGGCTAACATTTTATCCACAATGCCCCACTACCTAGAGAGATGATACGCAAATGCTTGAAGGTCCTGGGCAAGTCACTTAACCCATCTTTGCCTCAGTTTCCTTCTCCATAACATGAGAATAATAATAGCATCTACTTCCCAGGGTTGTTGCAAGGATCATTATATAATATTTTCAGAACACTTTGAAAACCTTAACAAGCTACATAAAGTTGTTGTTGTTATTATATAATTCTTTTGGAGGCAGAGTGCTATAGTGAAAAGTGACCCAACCTTATAGTCAGGAGATATCTGGGTCTGAATCCTACTTCCAACATTTCCTTATTGCTTCTCCACTCTGAGTCTTGGTTATCTGTAGGACAGCTATAATAATATAAATATAATGCTTGTTGAAATAATACTTGCGGTCCTGATGTTACAAGGTTATCATGCAGATCAGAATGAGGCAATTTACATAAAAATCCTACACAAATGCCAGCTATTATTAATGGTGCTAATTTCGCGATAATGTCCTACTTTTCTTTTAGACTTTCCAAGATTGAGCATTCACTAGAAGTTTCTGGTTAACACTTTCCTTAGACAGTGTTTAGAATTTAACCATAACACATGCATATTCAGTTGATCTATTTTTCTTTGAAAAAAAAATTCTTGACAGGCAATTCAAATAAAAAAAAAATTAGCTCCCAGATGAAAGTATTACTTTTCAAACTAGTATAACTTAAAACAAATCTGTTAGTTCATCAATTAAGGAAACAGACCTCCAAGTGAAGTGAACAAGAGTTCAAACCAGAATGATAACCAATGTCACCTTAGAAGTGGTGGGGTTGATCGGTCAGAG